TTGCTGTCTCTATAGGTTCATTAATCCTGGGTTTCATAGACCAAAAAACAGAAAAACATATAACAAAAATTCAAGAGGGTTACCCATGATGACAAAATACATCAGAGATAATAAACTGTAATATGAAAAAGAAACACACACATACACACAGAAAATGTTGAAAACCAAATCTGGCACTATGTGAATCAGAGGGGGGATTAAGTGACACGGTTTTAACTGTTTAAGTCAGATTTAGCATTTTGTTCTCCTATAATCATCTCTCCTATACTCTTTGTTTGGTAACCAGTTTATGTGCATTTCTCCATAATGGATAGAGGAAAATGACCAGATTTCCTATGTAGATCTCACAAATGCATTCTGAGCTTCACTGTCAGCCAGAGCCGCCTGTCATCCATAAGCAGAAGTTGACATTTTTAATGAAAGTAATGGAAAAGAAAGAAAGGGCAGGGCATCAGACTATATTAATTATATTATAAAATTAATTATTTATATTCATTTCATTGGTAGTGGCTAAAATATTTCAGGTACAGCCTAGGGAGCCCCTCTTCTTTAAGTGTAGTAGACTATGCTAACAACATCTCAGTAAAAGTTTATGAGTGAGCCTTGGAAAGCACTATTTCAGATGTGAGATGTTTTGGGCAAACATTACTTATTTCCTCTAGTTGATTTTATATTTTCTATTCCTCCTATGTAATATGAAGGTAGTAGTAAAATTGATTTATAGGCTTGTCATGAAGATTGACTTTTAAAATTCATAATAAGGCTAAGTGTTAGTTGCTTACTTGAGTTTGCGGCTGGTCCTCATAGTCAATGTGATGTATGAGATCGTGCAATGCTGACTCACCCCTCAGGTAAAGATTAGGGTCTCCCTTTTATTATGTTTTCCCAGTCTTTTATTTCAGCAAAATCATTACTTTCTTTGCCCTTGTATCGTTCATCATATACTCTAAATTTTAATCAATTTTTTGGTTGGTATATAATTAATTCATTCTTTTTTATCTTTATATAACTTGTCAGTCTGCTATAGAAGACATGTCCTTATAATTTGAAGCTGTTCTGATCTGTCATGTTTCTCTCTCAAATTACCTGGCCGAGGTATTCTAGAAAGTATGTGTACTAGTCTTTCTGTTTAAATTAAATGCCCCTCCTTAAATCACTTAATTTATAAGTTCAATTGTTTCCGAAATATAAATCTTACTATAACTTTTAAAGCCAAATATGACTTCTTAAGCTGTCTCCTGATCTGTAGAAAAATATTTGCGCATTTACTTTTATTTCTTCAGCTTGGCTAATCAAGAGCAGACTGCATAAGCCTATCTGTTAGAGTGCAGCCCATTTATTTAAAATTGCATCCTTTCACCTCCTAAACACCAAACTTGGAAACCTAACACAAATACTGTAAGAACATCTGAGGTAGATAATTAAAGTATAATTAAGTTTAAATGTCTTGGTGAAGGAGTATAAAAATTATTTAAATTCAATCGGCTAGTACATTTGCAGTTTTCTTTTACTAGGTGTGAAATCTAAGAATCCCCTGCCAACTCTTGAGGGCTCAATGCAGAATGTTGAATTGAAGTACTGCAGCACATCATTGGTCAAATGCGCCTCTGGGACCGTGGGATCAATGAAACTTTGTGCCAAAGCTCCAGGTATGTGCAGCTGGACCGTGTAAAACTTTATTGCCTGTATAGGAGAATTGGCCTTGCATTTTACAAGGAGCGTTACTGAAACAAGAATTTACTCATTGTTTCTATGAATCAGAGGCTTTAAATATTTAGTTTTCCTTTAACATTTTTGTGTGTGCCAGGATGATACTGATTGCCTTTAATAAATTAATTTTTATTTAAGGAAATGCTCTGTGGACATTTTACAGAACAAAAATGGAGGGAGAAAAATTAGTTTATTTCTGTACTTTGGGGATATTAGGGAGTTTATAGATAGATGGGACACTGAAAATTAGCTTGAAATATTATAAGACAAACAGAAACCTTTGTATTTTTTAATAAAACCTTTCAGTTGACTTCACTGGTTTTATGTCATTATCTTCTCTTTGAAATATTTGGTATCTTTTCAGTGCAAACAAAATTTCCTAAGTAAAAAGAGGTACAGTTTCCATTCAAATTTTAGAAGTCAAATGTTAAAGTTGACAAATCTCTTTAACAAGAGTTTCCAGATAGTTTTTACATTTATTAGCAAAATGTATAAATGATAAGCTTTTGATTTAATAAAATTTACTCCAGAGAATACGTAGCTAAAATTAGCAGATATAATCGGAATGTTACAGTACATTAGTGTATTTTTAAATCAAGAATTCTTAAGCTACTCTAGCATTTTATTTCATGAGGTTTATTTT